GGGCCGCTCTAACTCACTCGATCAAATAATTACTGATTGCAGTCCATTCCGTGTCACCTGCCTCAGGCAATTCTATCTTTCCAATCCCCGGTCTGTGCCTGTAGTACAAGATTCACACTTCTGCCTAATTCACACCTCAGCCTGCACCTCGGGAGGCTTGCCTGTGGAATACCCTCACTTGATTTTCTACCCTAAATTTGAAAATCTTTGTGGTTCCTGAACAATTACACATATTTTGTTCTAATTCTTTATTTATTCCGATCTCTTCGAAAATCCGCATCTCCACAAACAAATATACACGATAATTTCGTTTAATTAAATATTCTACTGTACTTTTCTGTTAACAGAACAATCAGAAGAAGCACCACGACAAATATTTTTCGTGAGTCATTGATGGTAACCATTAAATCACAGTAGGAAAATGAACGGGTAAATGAGTCAAAAATAAATCATACAAGTTGTTTCAGGTGAACAGATTCAATCCGAATAATCTAAGCAACCATACGAAGAGGCCAATAAAGCTGTCCTCATTCGTACTGATAACAAATAACAGATAACTAGAAAATCTACGGTCCTAATCTGTAAAACTACCGAACCGAATTTTTTGTTGAGCAAGCTGGTAAAGAGACCTTTCAATGATAAAATATACTACTCTAGCGTCCGAGCGTCTCTCTTCTGTACCGGTACTTTGACCACTATCGTATCAGGATCATCTGCTTCCACCTGCACCTGAAACCAGCAGATAGTAACAGTTACTAAACTCTACTCCTCTTTTTATTGACAGTGCTTTTAATTGTTTACATTCGTCCCAACGACCGTCTTCAGCGGCTGGGATCCTAGTGAGGGCTGGGATTTCATCAGAATCGTCTTTCCCAAGGAAAAATGTCTCAATAAGCTAGAGAAAAGATGAAAATCAGACTCCTCAAGGATAAACACTGTAAACCACGACCTACACAGAAAATATGCAGAAAATGAAAGGCTGAGCGCGTCGTATAACTTCGTATAATGTATAAAACTATAACTACTATATAATTCCGATTGGGGGGGGGGGGGGGGGGGGGGGGGGGGGGATTGGGAACCCTCTCATCATTATATGGTAAACGTAAGTAGGATAACGACAGCACCAACCTGGCAACCCAATCGAGAATGGTCTGACAGTTCGGGGGCGAGATCAAGGAGATCCAGTTCTTCTTCACCAGCTGGGTTGATCCTATCCACACGTTCGAAATGTTCTGGCGAAAGCACTACATGACAAGTGCAACATGCTAATGTGCCTGAAAGCAACCAGAATCAAATAAAATTGTTATGGCTCTGAAAAAGTGTAGTGAATTAACTCAAAATCTGGAACGTCTCCGAAACTGCTAGCTAAATTCATGAAATTCGGAGATCGAAGTTATCTTGTCCCTTCACCCCTCGACTCAATTATACTACATATCTCTTTTATTGTTCTATTAATCCGTTAGACCACCGTCACACTTGGCGACGGACAAGCAATGGAGCGATCGCGATCGCTTCATCGCTTTCCGACGCCGAGTGTGACGGCGGTCTCCATAAATTCCATCTATTGGTTGGTGTTGATCGGACAACTTTATACCTCTACACTGACTCTGCGAGTCACACTGCAGAGTCCTCAACTGCTTAAGTACTTGTCCCGAACAAGACAATATTGCAAGGACGATTAGCGATTAGATCTTGTATAACATACCTTCACAAGCACCAAAACCATCCAAAGGCAGATCGTTATTTACAACAACATCCAGTATCGTATCTCCAAGCTGAAATCAATAACAAAATCAAGGTAGTTTCAAAGCTACTTCAGCAGTAAAAGTATAATCTGCCATTTTGAGGGTACAATCAAGACAAGCGTGTGGAATGTTTCAAGCAAGTTAGAAGGTCCTTAGGAACTTGAATAGGCGACTTAGGAGCGAAAGCCATAGACCTCTGAAACACTTGGCTCCGCCTCCGATCACAGGACTATCGCTGGAAACGACTCCGATGCAGCGAGAAGAATGCACGGTGGCCGAACCAGTGAAACCAAAAAACTGTATTATCGCACTAAGACACCAGAGCGGGCCCAAAATTACACAACTGCTAGTCCTTTTTTGCCTATAAACGCTTTTTAGAACCGCTTTACTCAAAATTTCATTTGTAATACATTTCTGTAAATATATTTAACATGTTCCAAAAAACCATCGTACATACCTTCGCTGTTCCAACAAACTTCTCGTCTCCACAGACAAACTCAACTTGTTTAGTAGAAGCAGACCGCACGGAGGAAGGGCTAGAGGCAGTATTCAGAAATGATACAGATTTCAAATATGGTGAAAATTTGTAACTACGAAGTAACGACGACAGGATTCGACTACTTAACATAGCAAAAATCTGAAACAAAACAATTACGAGAGCTGGTAGTGGAATGACAAAAAAAACCCGCTATCCAAGCGATCAAACAAATAACGAAAAACGTCGAAAAAAAATGACGAAAACTTGAAGGAAACAAAATATACTGAGTTGCTACCGAAGCAGTGCGTGAGGATAGAGAAACTATGAAAGAAAAGGAAATGACCTAAAAACCATAAATGCCACTAGGTCCACGAGAAAATGAATTTTAAATGATTGCATTTGAATCGATACCAACAATATCTAGCAGGAGTTCAGCAAGATTTCCATAGTCGTCTCAGAAATTCAAGATTATTCAAATGCAGCGCGACAAAACAAATAAAAGCTCCAAAACCTACCAAAGCATTGAGACACTCGAAATTATTTCGAAAGCTGAGAAAATTAAATCATCCATTCAATTTACTAGTCTTTCAAGCTCTAAGAATGAACTTTGGAACGTCACGTTGTTCTTGAGTATACAAATAAGATTGTGGAGAAATAGTCAATAACATTTGTCAAGTGCAAGTTTAACGTCTAGAAAACGAGCCAGACAACCAGAAACCGATCAATTTGGTTCATCTAATCAAAACACAGGACACAGACAAGGAGTCACAGCACATCATACCTTTCATGCGTATCTCAGGAAACATTCTACAATCAGCTGACTGGGAAAATTCTGCTTCCGATGGGCCTGGTACTTCTCCAGCTATCGATAGAAAATCCTAGAATCGTTTGAATTTCTCATGTGTTTCCAAGGTAAAATTGAAGAACAAATGGCTACTGTAAGTGTTGGATGTAAAGCACCGAGTGTGCTTGAAGTTGGGAAACGTTACTGGTTGCAAACCAGAAAAATTGAAGGGATCTTTTCTTCCTCTAGCCTGGGAGAAAGATAGAATTAAGCCCCAGGGTTGCCAACGCCGAGGTTTCTCGATTTCGCGACTTCAAGGTGACTTGGCATTGGCCTATGTCGCTGAAAAGGGTTGCCCATCTAAACGCCACGCCCCAACGAACACCAGGGAGGGCACTGCTTTTATGCCTCTATTCTCGTCTTCTCACAGTCGCAACTCCTTTTATCACCCCCTTTCTTCGGGTTCTCTCCAAATCAACTCAAATGAGGAATGCTTTGTTTTACATAATTTTTGACTTTTCTTCCCTATTTTTTCAGTGAACTGCTCGTCACCTCGACTTCCATTTTTGAGCGGGCAATCCACACTATGGCTTTTATGAAATATGTCTCTCTGAACATCTGCTGGCCGAGCAATACGTGGTAAGAGATTTGCTCGCTCAAAAGCAAAAAGATAAAACCGATAAGGCTTCAATGGTTCGTTGACCATGACAATATACGATAAGGGATTTGATCCCGAAATGCACGTGATAAGCAGCGCCACCTACTATAACATTTTCGCTCGTGGAATATGGTACGCGATTTGAACCTCTTGTTGTAGTGAGATAAGGAGATGTTAACGCTTACTGGGGTGAAAGTCACCAGGGAACAAGGTGCTGGTATTTCACATGGAAATGGGTGTGGCTGGGACGAGTTCATTATGATTGCAGAGGCAGGTGGTTTGCGAAGTTGCCGACTGCGTCTCGACGCCTCTATTCGAAACAACAACCCGGATACGATTTCTGAGAATGATACTCGTTCAAGCCAAACCCATCTAAAGGAAGAGGAAGCACGCCTATGAATGATAATGGACAGGCATTATATGTAGACACTTCATCAATCAACTTATTTAATAAAGATCTGGAACAAACAGTCTGTAAAAGAGTTGTAACATCAACAATCAGACGAGGGACTAGCACACAAAGGCCACCGAAAGAGATCCCACGATAATTTAACCCCGTTCCGGATCCGCCGCCCCCATTTTGTGCTCATGGATGTATAAGGTAACATTGGCAGGAAACAGATGCATGTAAAAAAGTGATAGCCCGGCCATGAAAAAGGGAGGAAGGTCGGGTTGAAAAAAAAAAAACGTGTGAAGGTATTGTTGGTATGGGATCCGACACCCATTGGTCAGGCGGTCCGGAAAGGGTTTAGAGGTGGGAATTTATCCAGGGCCGGACAACATAGGCGGCTGCCCTTACGAGCCAAACGGCTATCGCCAGCCGAAGATATTGCCCCGCCGTCAGGGCTCTCCGCGCAATGCTAGCCCGTCGAGTGAGCAGCCAAAATTCGAATGGGGTACCTTCTGATCGTAAATTCCGCAAATTCTCCTCAGATCCATCACAGAGAATAAAGGATATCTTTGATCTCCCTGACTGTATTTGCACCAGCGCGTGACGGGAGTGCAGGTCAGTAGAAAGACGAAACCGAGCCAACTTTTGAAACCAAATTGAGAATAATAGAAAGAAAAGTCGATATCAGCTGGTAAACTGTTGGAAATAGGGGCTGGATATTAAGGAAGAAAAACACCACGGGCAAAAAATGTAGGAAGAAAACTAGTAAAATATCAAGCCCAAAGTTAAGCCACATGTATGCATCACGATTTTGATGATCACAGCTAACAATTTCTAAGCAGAGAAACGCTCTAAACAATGAAACTACCAGTTTCTATGCGCTGACACCTTCTTTCTGAGCTGCGATCGGTTTCTGTACTTACATAAACTCAGCTCAGTTAACAGCGTTGATCCACACGTGCAGGAACAATACAAATGATGGTACCTGGGTCTTCAGGAGCAATTTCGATCTGAAATCATTGAAAAAACTTCATATTATCTGGTACACACATATCAGTCTGTCACACAATCGGTTCAATGACTAAAAAATCGCGGAAGAAAGAAGACGAAGGGGTAGTGAGATTATACCGATCGTAGAATGGAAAGAACAGAGAAACAAGAAAACGCGGTTTATAGATATAGCGAAATGTGCAATCCGAAACTCGCATAGAACGCAGCAGGAAGTTCTCAAGGATGGGGCTCGCGTAGGGGGGCCGCAGCGTCCACGGAATCATCCAGTGGTGTTGCGTAGACCTGGGGCCGTATGCTGAATGTTGGGGAGGGGACGGGGATGGGGAAAGGTTGGGGAGGTTCGTCGCAGGACCCACTTTGCAACGGTCGCACCACCTTTGATTTTGCAGCTTTGTTTCCATCCTTTTACTGTTCCTGATTGTATATTCGCTCGTCAATACCTTTCTTCATCCAAAAAACAGCAATGAAAGAATGGAAACAAAGCTGCAAAATCAAAGGTGCGGCCGTTGCCCAGTGGGTCCTGCGACGAACCTCCCCAACCTTTCACCCATCCCCATCCCCTCCCCAACATTCAGCATACGGCCCCTGGGGCTCCCGCAGCAAGAGAAGCTTTGAGTTGCGTACAACGGAAGAGCCGCTTTTTGTCCTAGCTAAACGCACCCTCTCAACCGTAGGTTTGAGCAGCTCTGTACAGAATGTACATTCACAAAAATCTTCCTATAAGGCGATCGAGCAATGGATGGGCGTGAAAGGACAAAAAAACGGAGGAAGAAGCCTCTTCCAGAACCCCTTGTGGAAGAAAAATTAAATGAAGGTAGAAAAAACACTAGCCTGACATCCGAGTCGGGAGAACTCTGACAACTCAGGTGCATTATCGAGAAGGTCCAATTCTTCTTGACTCGCTGGATTGATTCGATCGAACTCGATCGAAATGTTTCTTTTCAAGGATAATATGACATGTACTACACGCACGCATTCCTGAAAGCAGATCATCAATCTCGAACACTCAAGACACTTCACTTCACTCGAATGGAGACTTTAGAGGAGAAAAGGTAGCAAACCGAACAAGATGAGAACTGGTGGTAAGACAGTCAAAAACCAGACATTTTTGCAACTCCTATAGTCCGCCCACAGTAAGCTCAGATCGCAACAAAATTCGAAGATTTGGGAGTTCTTATTTTCTCGTTCGAAGGGCTGCATGAGACAAACGTAAGAGCCATGACAAAATGCATACTGATATGATCTCCCTCTCATCTGGTACGGTGCTTGGTAAGCGAGATGAGGGTTCGAAGCCCGTCAGCGGTGAAATTTGCCCATAACTCAGCATTCTTGTAGCTCACTAGATGAGCCTTTAATGATCACTCCATTATATAACCCACAACTTGGTGTCTTGGTTTCGTTTGGTCGGAATGTATGCCTGTCTGTACATCAGAAGCAGTGAGTAGTAAAGCATGTAATGGAATAATCAAACCACTAACAATTCTGAAGAGCTACTTACGCTGTCAATTTTGGCAACGACATGATTACGACGCACCCCAACAGCTATATCAAATCCCAAACAGATCCAAGGTACAATTGAGTATTTGGGTATCATTCCAGCGTTGGGCCATGATTGTAGGGCCAAATACTATAAAAATAGCTTTCCTGGGCGTGCCACTCCAAGAGGTGTACCTCAAAGTGGAACGGAGCACAGGGGAAGGCGTAAAGCTTACACAGGTGAGGAAAGTCTCGGCGTTTGCTGGAGGACAAATCTGGTTGAACTTAAAAAAATTGTAATTGTTGTTCCCATCTCAGAACGTCACTTAATAAAAGGAAGAACAAAAAAATGAAAGATGAAAGGCAAAACAGGAAAAAAATGAAAATAACAAAAGTTTACAAAAAGGAGCAACAAAATGCAGTCTACACAGTTTTGAATGAGAGCGTCTACAATTGAGGAGAGCAGCGGAGCCTGCGACTGCGCAGGACTAACGCTAGGGAGAAGAAGAAGAAGCTTTTCACTATCTGCGTATTTCAACCAACTTGGAAGAAAGTGCAAGATTCAAATCACTGGAGTCTGTGATGGCAAACCAACCTCCACATACACCGAATCCTTCCAGGGGTAAATCATTATTTAGGACAACATCTAGAAGATGCTCGCCTACCTGCAAGTAGAAAATAGCAGAAAAATATCCATTATTCGGCTTAGGGTGGAATAATTCACAGCATTACAGCCAAGAAAAATTACTTAAATGACTTGAACAAAAAGTTATAAGATCATAATTCATGATATAATGAATGAATGATGTGAGTTCAATTTGATGTTCGACCCCTCGAGTTTTTTTCTTACCGCTTGGAAAATCGGTCATGAAAAGAACTCAAGGAGTCGAACATCAAATTGAACTCACCTCGCTTTTTTACCTGCCATCGTTACTAAGGCGGACGCATAGTCGGTCGGACGACAGCAACGACTGCAAGTGTCGCACAGCATTGGGTGCGTATCGATCTGCGACACCTGCGGTCGTTGCTGTCGTCCGACCGCTGCTGTCGCAGATCGATACGCACCCGATGCTGTGCGACACTTGCAGTCGTTGCTGTCGTCCGACCGACTATGCGTCCGGCCTATGGGCCGCACTTCATGTAGTCGTCGTCCCGATGGCAGCGATCGTAACAATAGCAAACATTGGATGCGTATCGATCGGCAGACCTGCGCATTGGACACTCGATACGTATCTAACGCTGTGCGGTTGTGCGATCGGACGACCGATGTGCATCTTCCCTTTAATAGGGGAGAAATGGCAATATAAAGAAGAAATACTTCAAGGAGCCTTACGTGGGGTTTTGATGAATTTGATCTATTTTTTTCCAATACAGTATTAATGAAAGAAGAAAAGACAGTAAAATCTTTATCAAAAAGTGCTTACCTTTCCCGTCCCAATAAAAGTCTCATTTCCACATATGAACATTATTTGCTTGGTGGGAGTTTCCTGCGATGATGCAGAAGAGGACGTATATGCTGACCTTAGCGGCATTGGAACGGATTTTGGTTTAATGGAACGCATTAATGAGGAAAAGGCCCGTCCAGCCAACATCGCAGACCTAAAAATATGAAGAGCACATGAAGATGTAAACCATTTAACTCAATCACTTCTGAGGAAAAGTGAGGAAAGACACAGGCAAAATGAAAGCGGTCAATGACAATAAAAATGAGAATCTATACAAACAAGCAATGTTGTTTAACTTTCCATCGAAGGCAGGACCGCTAATATAAATTAGACTAGTGTCAGAGTTCGCGAATCGTCGTGCGAAATGTTTACAGTTGAATCAACATTGGGTTGTGTCAGATGTCAACAGCGTCAAAAACAACAAATAAACACGTAAGATTCACACCAACGCTCAGTTTCAAGACTAAGCCTTTGAATAGAAGAGGAAATCCGAGGTGCGTAAGCAATTCTCATTCTCTCCAGACTTCGTCCCTCCGTAAGGCCTATTCCTAGTGGCCTTCCCACAAACTAACCGGCACACTGCGCCACAAATTACTGAAAACGGTAAAAACTAATAAAGAATGGGCGAAATCCCAACTAGATGAAGAAATGCTCAAGCGCTGGTGCTGGAGAGACCTTATTCTATCTAATGAATAAATTACGACCTGATCCGACCTGATCTTAGCACACTGTCCAATGAGGAAGTAAATTGTTTCCAATCGATATGTAAAGTGTAAAGAAGAAACGGAGCAACAAACAATTCGCGATCGCCGGCAAACTTGCCCTTGTTTTTCTTTAAAGGTCCGCAAAGTGCAATCGCAATGGAGCGCGTTATTGTTTTGAAAGCAAGTGCTCGTTTTCGGCTCGAGTATGAGAACAATCGTCACAGATATTTTTCTCTCACCAACGTAAACGATGTAAACGAATCACTTGAGAATTTCAGAACACCAGGTTTCATTGTTTCCTCTTCCTACGTCTGTGCTGTCCGCATGTGTCATGGTATAGGGGTACTGTAACAGGTATCTTCCACGAGTTTTTATAGACCAAACAACCATTCAACTGGTCTATGATTAGAAACAGGGTCTATTCCAGTCAGGGGAGGAGGTTTCATGACGCAGAATCATGGCGAACTAGTGAACTCGAACATTCCAGCTTTTCACGCATGTCAAGTGACTGCCCTCACCCCCACCCCCCGTAGACTGGCTACACTCCCCCCTGGCTCGGAGTTACCCTAGCTTTCTGGAAAAACTGCATCATGATGCCCCCTAACTGGAATAGACCCTAGAACCTTTTGAGTCGTGCTCTCAAATAAAGTGGAGGTCTACTTCAATAAAAAAGAGCATGGAGTGCGTTAAGCTCGTCCCGCATACCGTTATTCCAATTTTTGCACGGCGAAGGAATTTCTGAGTTGCGTGAACCATTTCGCTTCCGCTTCTTCACCCACCCGCAGCTTCCCTTCCTACAATAAAGGGAATAGTATAGGCTGCACGACGTGGTCCACATGTCCCTCCCTCACCTTATTGGAGCAGCCCTTAAAGCTAAATGGAACGTAAGTGCTGAGAGCGAGCAGCGGCCGTTGAAGATGGCTAACACGTTTGGATTCGCTCCGGAAAGGACCACACTGTTACCAAAAGGATGTGTAAAATCATACAAACATTACCATACTTGCGGAAATATTTACTGGCTTATAAATGACATGCATAAACAAGAGAGTCTTTGCGCTGTTAGAGATAAAACGAAGGATACCACGATAAGGTTGAAGTTAGAAGGATGGAAAGCTTACCCAGGGAAGAGGGCGGATCCCCTCAGGATGTGGACAGACGCGCAATTCGCAGCGAAAGATGCCCTGGCGACCCAGTATGACCGTCCGCGCGGGGGTATCGACGCGGCACGCCCACCGCGGCGATACACTCGCCACAGGACTCTAGCCGTTTAGAAGAAATCGTTTAGCGCAGCACTGATGAGAGTCGCATCAATGCGGAAACCAACGGGCCGAGAAGGGGTCCCATTTCTCCGGGTCTGCGCCGTTTCTCATGGTTTTTTCTCACCCGAGGCACGGCTGGCCATCCTTACCCCGATCTAAGGGCTGCCTTCTAAAATAAACCACCCGCCATGAAATAGCAAACTTCCAAAGTATCAGACTATAGGCCGTGAACCTAAAGATTAGCACACCGCTTACACTGAGTACTGTAAAGGGATACTGTAGCTAAGAAACTGACCGGAAATTTCCCAGGCCTTTGGAATGCTGGAGTGGATTGCGGCGAACGCTGAGGACGATGAAGGGAGGGCAGCGACGCCACAAGCAGTTGAAGAGATCTGCGAAGCCGCCGGAAGGCCTCGGGATCCGCACCGGATAGTCAGCAGCCGCCCGTCACTTCTTCGTTTAGCCTTTTTACTCGATGCCTTGTTCACCGTAGTGATATCTTCACTTTAAGCCTATGTACTGCATTTCGTTAACTATGCCTCCTATTCTGTCCAATAAATCTTATATCATTCTATCCACCGCGTGGGCGCAGCACTTACTGTACATAATTATGTGAGTGGCTAACCATAAGTGTAGTGTAAATCCACCACTGGTGACGTTTCACCTAATCTCAACTCTTTCAACGCTATGTTTACTATTGCTTATCAACGCTGAAATAAACGTGGAATGTGCTAGCAGACGACGGATTCGATCCTCAGCTGGGATGAGCTGTTTTGCTCACAGCAAAGTATCTTTTAGAAAATTTTCACATGATAAAGACAGCAAGTAAAAATACCGAAACAAGGCGGATTGATAATGGGCCGCTTGACGGTATATCTTAGTGCACCATGCTCAAGTACTTGGCTAATCGAAGGAATATTGGCTTTGAGGATGCGAATCAAGCGATGGATCAGCAATGTCCTTCATGACGGAAGATGTAGCGCTTAAAGGCAAACCCCGGGATTAGCCCGACTAGTAGGAGGGATACCACGAGGGAAATTGTAAGGTCCGTACCTACCTAGATCACTCCAGCTTCGTCGCTAAAATTGCGCGGTTAGGGCGCTAATCCTTACGGGCCTGCAACCATCGACCCCGATTCCAACGCTTCCCACCCACCGCGAGAGATGGTGAGATCAGCGTGCATTGATGTAGAGATCAGCGTGCTCTCTCAAACGACGTGCTCTCTCGCGTATTTTGTCTTCTTTGACCGCCCTTTCTCGCCATCGTACCACATCCGACCTTACTGAAGGTTAAGGCCTTAGTTGCAGCGTTCTCAAAGATTTCTCTTGCTTTTCTTCCCTTTTTCAGGTCGTTCCGCAGCTAAGCTATCACCACGAAGCCGCTACTATCAATATTTAAAAATAAATTTATTTTGATTTATTCAAATTTTTAAACTTAATTAATATCGGGGTTTACCTAGTTTTTAATGTTAGAGATGTATTCAAAAGCACAGATCTTGGAGGCATGCCCGACATTGCGCGCCTCACATCGCCGGTATGTTACAGCATTCGGCCTGTGATTAGTGAGGAAGAAACCGAAACAGCGCCTTTGGCCAGTTCTAGGCGTAGCTTCACTGGATATTAACACATCCGTAAATGCGAAATCTTTCCACGACCAGGGACAGTGGCGACACTTGATATTAACACTTCTTAAAGGAATCTTCCACGGACCATGGACCAGTGGGCGGGACCGGAAGTGGTTTTGCGACGAAATGCATGGTAGGTACGGATCCACGTTCATGGGAAGGTTTGAAGTGAATCCTGTTCACGTTCGTGCGTTCGACACGTGGATCCGTACCTACCATGCATTTCGTCACAAAAACTTCCGGTCCCGCCCACTGGTCCATGGTCCGTGGAAGATTCCTTTAATAGGAGCGTAGCATATCTTCGATCGAATCGAAGCTAGACATCTCGTTAATCTCAAAGTCAACGTGTATTTTTTGAATCTCCTAACATTTCAAGAATTCGTAATAAGTAGATGGTAAGGGTGGCGAATTCCTAGTTATGCCACAATCACTTGATCGTGCCATAACCGAAGCGCATTTGCGGGACTCCTCCGTCTATCGACTTGTAAGTGGAAAGGGACTTTTTGTCACAGTGCAAGCGACTCAATCATATGGTTGTGCACGGCAAAGTCAGCAGGCCTTGACGAAAAGTTTCATCACTGGTCTCAAACTGGACAATCCAAGTTGTCCGGTTTTCTATAGCCTTCTTGAAGACCCACAAACTTGCTTCTCAGGATATGCTGTAGATGTCAACGGATACGTATAAAATTAGTCCCATCACAAGTTATTGTGAAAGGGGACCAACCGACCGGATATCATGCGTTCCTTAAAGGAAGCGATTACGATAAGGAATTTTCGCATCGGGGGAGAACCTGCGCCACACGGAGCAATTACTTGGCTGCCAAGGAAGCGATGTGTGGCCCTCCCACGGCGAAAGGTGCTGTGGTTGCTGAGCAGGACCCGCGTGACGCCCCGCCCCCAGTGACGTAACGCCCACTAGTTTTGTTGATGATCTGGATGGACTGTTTGCTGTTGGCTTTTCATTTTGGATGATCATTTCCCTTCTAGCGGCTGTATCTTCCAACTTGCCCACGTATTGCCTTATCAATCAAACACTATGCTTGTTGGCATGATGGCGGCTATCGGGGTTAACACGTCCGAACAACGTCGTTCTTTCCGTCGCTCATCCATGGTCGAAAATGAAAGGGCAATCAAAGGGGTACTATTTTGCTTATTTTTGACGGATTTCTTTGCTTTTTTCGCCATTGGCGTACTATTGAGACCCTCACGTCCCCTCTAACCCCTGTGAGATCTATCGTAATCGCTTCCTTTAACAAATTGTGAGCCAACTGTTGCCCATGGTTCCCTCTCACCTGCCCAATACGAATAAATTCCTTGAAATTCTACACTCTTCTCACATTGAGGAGAGTGCAGTTATGGAGTCATTCGATGTAACTTCACTTTATACGTCCGATAGTTTCACCCATAACCTATGAACATTAAGGGCTTCGTGTTCGAGCGAGATGCTTTGTTCTTATTTAGAAACCCAAAAATGGCAATCCTTCACAAAGTTACGACATGGGCCGTCTTAGTGTTTGTCATGGAGACCATCGTGAAGGGATCAGTTTTTCACTTGTGATG